CTAAAATCCAAATATTTATTCTTATTTCGAGATGTTATGTGGGAATACTTACATTAGTGGTAGACAAAGTCAAATATGTAGGTGGTTAAGGAGAAAAAAAATTTATATTACGGGGATAACAATGTTTTGCTATTCTAACTAATCATGACTTGTCATGAGTAATAACTTTTTCACATGACGAAACATGATTGTTTGAGAATAACAAAACAACATCATTCCCGTGATTTGTAAGTTCTTCTTATATTTAAGTCATCACGATTATTCAAGAATCCAAGTCTCAAAGTCCCAATTGAACAATTCATTGGTTTCATTGACTCTTTTGTTGCCCAACTCTAAGGCCCAACTGAGAATTTGGCAAGTATGTCTCTATGGACTAAAAAACTGTGAAACCACAATGTTTTGTTGGACTAAAAAAGAAGAAGAAGAAACCTGCATTTTAAAACAACTCCTCGGATAGTATCACATGTACCCTTTTATTATTTGAGGTATTTGCCATCGCACACATGGTTGTAACCAAATGTCAAATGTCAAAAAGAAAAGAGGAAGGGAAACATGTTACCTGTGCTAACCGACACAAATACATACATTTCTTTCTTCAGCTTCCTACTCTTCCTTCTCTTCTTCTTCTTCTTCTTCTTCATGAGGTGGTGAAAGAAAAACCAAGTTTGAGCAGGAAAAGGTGGATGATCCATTTTGCTTTCTTTTTCTCTTTGAACTTTGTTTTTTTATATGCATATATGGGACCAACCATTCTAGTTCTAGTTTGGTTCTCTTGATGATCAAATGCACTCTACTCTAACATGGGATGATGATCAAGACATCTGAGCTGAAACTGATAGTGACAGATTATCTCAACCAAATTCATATAAACAAGAGATTAATATTACAATATCTTCTAAAAAGTTTTGGCCATCAGACACATTATCAATCCCATTTCAATGTCAGATTGATAATTGTTTTAATTTGTTATTGCTCATGACAACTTTGTTGTAGGACCCAATTGAAACTACCTTAGGGATTGATGCTAGTTGCAACTTTACTCTTACACTAGAAAGACCAATCGCAAAGAAGCAATTTTTGCCTTCCCTTCAAAGTTTGAAATGTGATCATCTCTTCAGTTTCAATACTTTTTCTGGTGCCCCACACTCGATTATACTAGCCCAATCCAAGAAAGTGTAGACATCATCATACATGTATAAATACGTATCCCAAGAAACATGCATTGTCATACAAGTTCAATCCCATGGATACCCACAAAAGAAACTTGATGTCACAGAGCATTCTTATGGTGACCATTTTTATGATTTTCGTCAACCATTCAAGTTCTACTTTCCATGGTTCTAGTGGAGTGGAGCAACTGGACACCGTGGTGGAGGAAGCCGAAGATCATTTAGCATATCCAAGCACAAGTGATTGGTATCCATATAAGAGTGGCATTTCATTTTTACTTTTGTTTTAGTTTGATTATGTGCACAATGTATAAAGTATATATATGTCCTTCTGTAGGATTGAAGAGTTGAATGATGGCATGGAAGATGATCAGTGGCAATTGGTGCAGAAGAAAGGGAACCAATTTGTAGTGAACGATCAACCTTTCTATGTTAATGGATTCAACACTTATTGGTTGATGGTATTTGCTGCTGATAAATCCACAAGAGGAAAGGTCACTGATACATTCAAACAGGCATCTTCAGTGGGTCTAACTGTTTGTAGGACTTGGGCTTTCAACGACGGCCAGTGGCGAGCTCTTCAGAAATCACCATCAGTTTATGATGAAGAAGTTTTCAAGGCAAAATTTTCTAACCATTTTGTTTGTTCAATGCTTGTGAAATACTCTTCAAATTCTAAGTCAATTTGAATTTCGTACAATGAGCTGCAGGGTTTGGATTTTGTGATAAGTGAAGCAAGGAAGTACAAGATCAGGCTCATATTGTCTTTAACCAACAACTGGGATGCATATGGTGGAAAATCACAATATGTCAAATGGGGAAAAGCAGCTGGTCTGAATTTGACTTCAGATGATGACTTCTTCTCTCATCCAACACTCAAAAGCTACTACAAGGCCCACGTTAAGGCAAGTTAAAGCATGTTTTTACAAGCCTTGCCCATCTTTTGATTGTCGATTTTGTGCTTTAATAACTGATTAATTAGGTTTTTAGTGTTCATATTTATTGATACTTTGACTCTGCAGACGGTTCTTAACAGAGTTAACACACTCACAAACATTACTTACAAGGACGATCCCACAGTTTTTGCTTGGGAACTGATGAACGAGCCTCGATGCACCTCAGATCCTTCGGGTGATAAACTGCAGGTTCATGGTCTTCAACAAATGGTTGTGTGTGTCTTTGTTTTATTGGAATGTATCGTTTTCTTGTAGCTGAAGCAATGTTCTGTCTTGTAGGATTGGATACAAGAAATGGCTGTTTATGTCAAGAGCCTCGATCCAAAGCACTTGGTGGAGATCGGATTGGAAGGATTTTATGGTCCCTCAGCACCTGGAAGAGTTCAGTTCAATCCAAACACATACGCTCAACAAGTTGGAACTGATTTCATAAGGAACCACCGGGTTTTGGGTGTTGATTTCGCTTCTGTTCACATCTATGCAGACTCTTGGTAACTTTTGAAAATAATAACTAGTTTTAGTTAGTCCCTTACGATAAATTTTTTCCATAATATTCAACTTGTGACAAAACTATTTAAATTCATTCATGAAGGATTTCACAATCAATCTCTGATTTGCATCTCCAATTTACCAAGTCATGGATGGAAGCCCACATTGAGGATGCAGAGAAATATCTTGGGATGCCGGTTGTGTTTTCGGAATTTGGTGTGTCTTCGAAAGACCCGGGCTACAATTCATCGTTTAGGGACACCCTTCTCAGCACAGTGTACAAGACCATCCTCAACTCTACTAAGAAAGGAGGGAGCGGAGGTGGCAGTCTTTTGTGGCAGTTCTTCCCTGAAGGAACTGACTACATGGATGACGGGTACGCAATCATTCTTTCGAAATCTCCCTCAACATCAAACATCATAGCCCTTCACTCCACAAGACTTGCCCTCTTCAACTCTAGATGTTCTTGGAAAAGCCACTGGGGCTGCAGGAAGAAGAATCCACTAGAGACATTCCCATTATACTATGATGATCTGTAACTATTATATGCTTTGCATTGTTGTCATTTCTTAATAATGTGTGTACATCTGTATATGAGAATCCATGAAGATTGGTCCAGTTAAAATTAAAAAAGAAAGATTTGTTCATAGAATCATAATATATATATTTGGATATTACGTATATCAATGTGACAATATAAAATGTGGTTTATAACGAAGCTTAATAACAAATCTATAGGTAGAAAATAAAACAGCAAATTAATTTTATCAGTCAGGGGTGGACATGCGTATGCATATTGGTGTGGTAGTGTTGGCCAGCATGGGATCACAAATGGGAAAACATGTTTTTCGGGACAAGCATGCACTACTATTACATGGGAGAACTGTAACCCTGTTTAATATGTTCTAGTATGAGGGTCCTTCTCCATTACGGAGTTGAAATATCCGAATTCATTATGGATTTGTGTTTTGATCGTCAAATGTGGCCTATTTGCCCCTTTGTTTAATATCTCACCTTCTTTTTGTTTTAATTGTTTTAATTCTATTTCCTCTTCTCTCTCTTTCTTTCCGTTTGTTTAATATCTCTTCCTCTCTCTTTTTTATATTGATTGGATTAATGAATTTTCAATACATTGGCCGAACTAAAAGATTTCAGGCAAGCAATAGCATAAATAATCGAATCGTGAATGAAACCATCACCCAAAATAGAACTCGAGAAGCAAGCCAGTAGCAACTTCTAGCAACAAAAAATCAGGCAATAATCAAAAGACAAATCAGCAACAGTATTATATTGTATTGTATTTGAACTAAAGTATCACATCTATAATGCATGCAGCTATAACAAGAAGACCAGCAATTGTCATACAAATCAAATAAAATGTTACCAAAGCTTAATAACAAGTCTATATCTAGAAAAGATTTGAACTAAAGTATCACATCTATAATGCATGCAGCTATAACAAGAAGACCAGCAATTGTCATACAAATCAAATAAAATGTTGCCAAAGCTTAATAACAAGTCTATATCTAGAAAAGAAAACAGCAAAAATTAATCTAGTCTCATTCAAGTTCAGGATATGCATGCGTATTCATATTGGTGCTGTAGTGTTGGCCACCATGGGATCACAAATGGGAAAACACGTTTTCCAGGACAAATAATACCTTTATATGGAGAGACTGTAACCTTCTTTGGGAGGGGAGATACTCCTTCTTTCATTCTCTGGAATGAGAGATATTCCTCCTTTATGTAAATCACAGTTTTATGCATGTGCAAAAATAATTTGTGAAAAACACAAAAAGAAAAACTTGATGTACATGTCATATTGTCATTGGCATAAATGTATCAAAGTGTGCAAAAAATAATTTCTGAAAAACACAAAAAGAAAAACTTAATGTATATATATGTTATATTGTCATTGGCATAAATGTATGAATTCCTAATTAAAGGGATTCTTGACACATGTGACTTTCTTGCAAATCACGATTTGACACATGTAGCAAAATAATTTATCAAAAACACAAAAAGGAAAATTAATACACATGTTATACCTATTTAAGAAAAATAGTTGCAAGGGAATGAAAGGAGTTACAAGAGAAAGGAGGAATTTCTTTAACAAAAAAGGAGGCTCACGCAAAATAAAAGAGAATAGTTTAGAATATTTTGACTTTCTAGCAAAGCCGTGTAGTGTAATATGTATGAAAATATAAAATATTCAATCCTTAACACAATAGGAAACCTAATAAAATCAACAGGAAACCACAACCCCTATAAATATTTGGGTGCACTCCTACGTCTTCCACACAGTCCTACACATACCATCTTAACTGAAAAGAGCTCTAAATATTCCAGTTGCTTCTCAATTCACTTCCATTAATCAATCTCTGCAATGGCTTTCACCACAATAAATTTTGTTCAAGTAGGCGATGAGGTAGAAGTGTGCAGCAAGCAAGATGGGTTTCACGGTTCGTATTATGAAGCAACTGTAATTGAAAACTTGGGGGACAAGTATAAGGTGAAGTACAAGAACCTGGTGGAGGAGGATGATATATCCACCGCTCTGGAAGAGATTGCGGCGGTGGACGAGGTTCGGCCTGTGTGCCCTAAAGTTTGGCCTGACTTTTTTCCCGGCGAGAGGGTTGATGCGTTCGCCAACGACGGTTGGTGGGCAGGCATCATTACTAAGAAGAGTGGAGACTACTGGTTTGTCTACTTTCCAAGCACTTTTGAGCATATAGCTTACCCTAAGAACCATATCAGGCTTCATCTCGAGAGCCGCCGCAACGGATGGGTTTCTCGCGATGGACGGGTCTTCTCTTGCGAGGGAAAGCCGCTGTCTTGCAAGAAGAGACTGCGCATTGTGATGGGAGGATCATCATCGACATCTGTTAAAGCTCGACTTGTTTAATTACTTCATGTAAACGTTTTGGTGGCTTGTTTTTGGATTTCTTGGTAATTTGTTTTGTGATTGGTTGGATGATTTCATTAATAAATTTTCAATGCATCTCTCATTGTTTTTTAGTCTTTTTGATTGATTAATTTTTGTTTATTTATTATCTTCTTACAAACGTAAACCCTATATTGAACACAAATGAAAGGTTATCGGTGCAGAGGAGGCACATTGAACATCAAAAATGGATTGATTAGCGGTGGCCAAATTAAAATTTTAGGATCTCTTTTATTAACATTAGAATAAACTTAGAGAGTAAGTCATGCTAAGCAGTGAGAAATTTCTGGTAAAGGTTCTCACAATTTCTCCTTCTAAAGTTGTTGACTGCCACTTCATGGGTCAAAGACGTGGGGCTCGATCTGAGGTGCACTAAACTCGACTTGGAGGCTACACATTAGCTGCAAATATTTGGGACTTTTGTGTTTCCTGGTGCTCAGTTTGAAACTTTTTTGTGTTAATAGTAGATGCCAATTAGGCCGTAATAAAATTACTGCCTTCTGATTCATTGCATGATTGCCTCCATCTCCAGTGGAAATAGGACCTAGAATTGAGTATAGGCTTCGAACAATTTGCTTTATAGCCTTTATCTATGCATTGAGAAATCAAAGAAGAATGACGTCATCCGATAAATATATAAATATATTTAAAAATAAAGAATGACATCAATGGGCCATTTTTTGGTAGACCAATGCCAAAGCCCAACTGAAACTTCATTTTTGGGCCTTGGGCCGCTTGTTGTTATTGATAGTCCTTTTGGGTAAAATGATTTATGAACTTACAAGGAAATATACTCCAAAAAATTGAGGGAAAAAAACCACATTCTCGTACATGATTTCATATACTCAATAATTTTAAGCTCACTTACATTATAATTGGTTAATATAAAACAAAATTGTTATCCAATTTTAAGTTCATCTGACAAAACGAAGCGACGCCTCGCGTAAGTCTAGGCAATGATGGCCTGCACGACGTGCTTGAGCATTAAATGCGCCGACTGACCTGCACATTTAATACCCCAGTTGTCAATCACTTCAGAAGGAATGCAAAGGGTCCATCCCCTGGAATCCATTCGGCCTTTGCCCATGCCGAGACCGAAGAATCCGGGGATGTGGGGGCAATGTTTGTGCCTAATAAATCACGGCCATAAATTGGCCGAAAGGACCTTCCTCGGCCTTAGCACCTATTCATGAACTAAAACGTGGCGTTTCGTCAGATGTTTGGCATTCCTAAAAACAAAGGAAAAGCTGCGAAGGCATAATCATCTCGGCCTTGACCGCAACATTATGGGCCGAGGCCGAAGGACGAAAGAGTCACGACCGAAGGGATTAGAGTCAAATCGCCACGTGGCAGCAGGGTCCTACGCTTCATTTAATAAAGTAACGCCTCTGACTAGCAAACCCACTAGCCGCAAAAGGGCATTTAATGCACGAGGGAAAAAGGGAAGTGACTAAAGTCAGGATTTGGTGACAGAAATCAGAGTGGTTAGGCGCAAACATACTTACAAATATTCTTACAAATTGAGGTCAGATCACCAACCACCAAACAAGGGCATTAAATGCGTCCCCAAGGCCAGAAGCGCAGAACCCACGATCAGGGCGGCGGTCGAGATTTACCAGGATTTATGGGGTTACACCACCATGCTTCACGATCCCAAATGTCGATTGGACTACCCACTTGTTCTAATCATACTCCACCATGCAGATTTTCAGCCTCGATTACTCCTCCATGAGCTCTTCCTATAAATATCAAACTCGAGCCACATTCAAAGAGTTCAAACACCAAACCAAAAGCCTCCCACGGAGCAAATTATATTTTCTTGTAATGCACTTTCAATATCTTTACTTGTTTTCCTAGGAGTAATGTTAGATTGTAAGGAAAATCCGTTCATCAATATATCATACGACCCTTGATTTTCAAGGCGCCGGAGCACCACCTCTATTACTCTTTCATTCATCCCATATATCATACGACCGTCGCTCCCTGAGCAACGCGCCGGAGCAACGCCCAAAATCCACCATCAACACCACCACTAAACGGCCTTGTAGCTCAGGCCGTGAACCTGATGGCCGAGATCAATTCCTCTCTCGGCCACAATCGTTTGATTAGGAGTCGGACTCAAACAGGCGCACCACTTAACCACTTCACCCATATCACCATCTCGACGCACGGTAAACCGTGCTGGCACGCCCGCGCACAACCGCACCGCATCCAAAAGAAGGAAGCCAGGTGTTAACGCATATCCCCTCGGTCCGGAGCTCTAGGCCGTGAGATTTGCGCAGCCAACATTAGCAGAAGAAAAACAATAAAATTGATGAATTACCAAGAGAGCATTATTATACATTATAGAAGCTAAAAAACCACTAGTTTACTCGTATTTTCAACTCATGCCATTAGAAGTGATGGGTTTAACCTTGTGTGTGGTACAGTAATTTCAGACGCGCCTTTTGTCAAAAACGGAAATTCGAAAATGATTTGTTGTACACACACAGAAGCGAAAAAAACCATTTTAAAATGGAATTAGTTAAAACATTTGGAGGGACGCGTTTTATTGTAGTGGGGCCCATCGGCGTATGACATGTCCTCCAAAAAATATGAAATATGGCATATGACATGCCCTCCAAAAAATATGGCAGATGACTAGTATGGACTAGGGTTTAATGGATTAATTATTTATTTATTTATAATCTAGACCTTTTTTTTTTTTTTTGGAATTTATAATCCAAACTAGGGCTTAATGGGTTGAATATGGACAAACAATACAATCACAAACATCATAACTCGAACAATTTTCAGTACATGCAATCGTGTTTACAAAAATTACATCATGTGAGTGCTAAAGAGATCACTCAATCCAAGACTTGATGAATCATGGGATGCCTTGAATGTAGGTCAAAATGCCAGAAAGAATTACATATCGTGGTCAATTAAAGATGGTGTTAACAACAAACCAAAGGTTACACGATCGGACATGGGATGGATGGATGGATGGATGGATGGACATGGCAGCTGAAGTCGGTACCTTTGGGATAAGAGTTGTTTCCCAACAAAAGGTTACAAGTTTTGGTCTTTTTACATTTTACTTTTTGAGCAAAAAAGGTTATAAGTTTTGATGATCACAAACAATACGCGTGGAATGTCGTGCTTGTTTAGAAATACAAACCCGAACCCAAACCCCAAGCTACCCAAGCTCGATATGAAACTCGACACATATTTTAAAAAATTATAAAGGCATGCAAAGTGTGGTAAAGGTTGTCAACAAATTTTTAAAATTAAAAATAAAAAGGAAATTTAACAAAATGAAAAGTGTTCAACCACATAATGGAAGAGATGGGTCAAAGGGCTTACTTTCAAATGAAGCATAAGACATTAATGATCAAAGCATCCAAAAATGCTAACGAGATACTGCCATTGAGGTCCTGGGTGAGGAGGACATTGGAGGACTTGATGTTGCCATGGATGAATTTCCCTCCACTGGCAGAGTGGATATGGGCAAGCCCCTTAGCACATCCAAGGGAAATCTTTAACCTGGTTTCCCAGTGTGGTGGATTCTCTCTAGTTTCCCTGTTTCTTGTACAATAGGACACAAAGGGAGAGAAATCAGTCATATCATATGTTTACTATGTGATGCCTTCTTATTACAATGTTGAGCACCATTGCGGAATACTTCGTCAGTTTAAAGAAGTAAACTCGCTAGTCTAAATGCAAAAACTTTGTCTTACTAATGGCAATGAGGAGATTATAGAAGTGCACTGAGGAAATGAGTAGCATAGTAGCTACAATGAGAAAGAACACGATGAAAAGAAGCAATACCATGCAATAATGCTGAGAAACTGCCAGCTGAAATGCAGTAATAAACCAGGAGTTTCTCATCTTTGGAGTAGTAATAAGCATGAAGAGGAAAAGCATTTGAGTGCTGACTAATCCTCCCAGCATTCTCCATTTTCTGTTCCAACTCCCTTTTTCCCACCACTACTTCTTTCATCCTTTTCACAACCACTGTGGTTCCCTCCTCCAAAATGGCCTTATATGTAGTCCCATAACTTCATTTTCCCACAACTTCAACCAAGGCTCTTAGTTAATCATCAAGTTCAAAATTATAAGAACAGCCTTCGAAGAAAACCAGCTTTTTCTTCTCAGCCTCTTACACCCACAACAATTTTCGAACAGCACCTACTGCCTACCGACAGTTTAGAAATAGGTTAGTATATGTGATTCCAGCAGTTTCGTCAGATTAACAACTTCCCAATTGTTGAAGGCATATCATTGGCGCTTCATCCATAACTTATGTGACATAGGCATATCAACCATGAAGTAACCTCTCTACTTCACGCTTTGACAATTAATTTACACCCAGCCATCGTTTTCTTTATCCATGGATTTTGCTATGGAGATATTGTACAAATATGAAAACTGCTCATAAGTAGGATCGCCCTCTCCAGCCATATGGAATGTGAGGTTAAACTGGGCTGGTGCATAGCTAATCTTTTTTATCATCTTATGCACCCAAGGGCCCAAAAGAAACCAAAGCCTCATAATCCAATGGAGAACTCAACGATTCCCTCGGCTATAGAATCCTCAGCCCTACATAATCAGGAATCTGATAGTACTCACGATTTTGCATTAATTTCTCTTATGTTAGCTTATTTTCCTCCAAATAATCCACATCCTACTATGAAACCAAGAACGTTGCTCATAAGTATGTTCTCCCTTTTCCACCTTACCGAAGGTGGTATAAGTCACCAACAATGTAATCCAAAAGTTGGGGCTGAACTGACCTGATGTATAGCTGATCTTCGGGAGCCTCTTTTGCACCCAAATTCATTTACACTTGAAAAAGCACCATGGGAGTATGCAAGATCCATATAACTATATAACTATATATATCTGACAATAGTATTTGTATATACCTATCCATATATCTATATAACTATATACCTGCCAATAGTATTTGTATATAC